GATGGGGGGGTCATTCAGTGGCAGAAAGGCAGAGCACCTTCCTTCCTTCCTTCCCCTGGGAAAGGGCCAGGGTGCTTCTCCCCAGAGGCTGGCCCTTGCAAGCGGTCTCCTCTGAGACAGGTCTCCTCTGAAAGTGTGAGTATGGGGACCCTGAGCTATTTGAAGATCACTCTTTAGGACTATTCAGGTTTTGACAAAGGGAACACTGGTGGGAAGGTCCAAGGTGCCAAGCTGGGGAGGTGGGGAATAGTTCTTAACCCCCTGATGCTTCCTCAGCACAGAGGGCTCTGGTCTGTTAAGCTGGGTCTTGGCTGACAACTCGCTCTGGGTAGAGGAGGTCCTGGCCTCAGGGTGTGGCCGCAGCATCCTGGAAGGGAAGGACGTGTACCCCTGGTGCGCATGGGTGTTGGCGCAGTGCGCGCCCTTGTGAGTAGGTGATCCACATGCTTGCTCCCCTTCTCAGGCCACCTCCAGGGGCTCCAAGCTCGTGAGCACAGAGGGCAGCCTGCCCCCCGTGGTGGGGCCTGAGCCCAGGGACCAGGAGAGCCGCTGGAAGCAGTACCTGGAGGACGAGAGGATTGCGCTCTTCTTGCAGAACGAGGAGTTCATGAAGGAGCTGCAGCGCAACCGTGACTTCCTGCTCGCCCTGGAGAGAGGTGGTGCCCTGGGGCGGGTGCTCCGGGCCAAGGCGGGGCGATGTCGGCTTTAGCCTGGGGCTCTGAGCTGTAGGTCTGAGTTGTCCTGGTGAAAGTGTGAAAGTGTCAGTAATGTCTGACCCTTTGCGACCGCATGGACTGTAGCCCACCAGGCTCCTCTGTCCATGGAATTCTCCAGGCAAGAATACTGGAGTGGGTTGCCGTTGCCCGTCTCCAGGGCATCTTCCCGACCCAGTGATGGAACCTGAGTCTCTTATGTCTCCTGCACTGGCAGGCAGGTTCTTTATCTCTAGCGCCACCTGGGAAGAAGAGGTCTGCTCACAGGGACCTGAGTCACCAGCCAGCCCTCCCCCACTCTGGGACTTTGCGGGAGAGAGGGGCGCCCTCTGAGCTCTGCCCCTGCTTGCCCCCCTGACTTCTGCTCTGTGCCAGGGGCTGGTGTCTGCCCTGTGTGACTGGGGCTCCAGAAGTAGAGGGTCTGGGTAGGTGGGTGCCAGGGTGCATGCCCCCCTGAGCAGAGGGCATTAGAGCAGGGCCTCTGGAGGGTTTTGGAGAAGGAAATGGCAACCCACTCCAGTGTTCTTGCCTGGAGAATCCCATGGACGGAGGAGCCTGGCAGGCTACAGTCCACGGGGTCGCATAGAGTTAGACACGACTGAGCGACTTCACTTTCACTTTTTCACTTTTCTGGAGGGTTTGGGGGTATTGGGGTTGTCTCTGGGCCAACGATCCTACTCCCCCAAGCCTGGCTGCCTTCCCCCTTTAGAGTGGGAAGGTTTGAGGTGGGGTACAGCGAGGGGCCTGTGGGAGAGGGGTTTGTGTGTACATGTGTGTGTGACTGGCAGTGTGTTTTGGTCAGGAGCATAGCATGCAGGGAAAGTCTGGCCTGAGACAGAGGAGCCCAAGGTTGGTCCCAGCTCTGCAGTAAAGATGCTGGGAGTCTCCAGGCCTTTCCTTTTAGATGAAGGGCTGGACGATCCAATTTCTCAGGGGCCTTTTAATTTTGACATTCTGACGTTCCAGTCAGTTGTCAGGGCAGTGCTTTCTGTGTCTTTGAGAGTTCTGGTTCTTTGAGAGCCCATAGGTGTCGCGTGTGCACATGTTTGTGTGTGTGTGTGAGAGAGAGATTCTCAGGGTTTGGCCTCCAACCACCTCTCAGCTCAGGTGGCCCCCGGGTGGGAGCTAGCTCCCCTGACCAGACTGTGGGCCTTTTCCAGATCGACTGAAATACGAGTCCCAGAAGTCTACATCCAGCAGCGTGGCCGTGGGAAATGACTTTGACTTTCCTTCTCCTGTCCCAGGTAACCTTGCCTTCCTGAGAGAGAGACCTGGAGGGTGTAGGGGGCTCATGTCCCCAGGTGTCTGCATATTTGGAGTTTGGAGAAAGGGTGGGGAATAGGCTGCAGAGGATGGTTCTGCCCCATCATCATACACCCCGAGCGGTGAGACAGGCCCTCCGCTCGGCAGCCCTGGTTCCTGCCAACCCAGCGGCTGCTGGAGCCCTCACCTGGGGCCGGCCCGCAGACTGGCTCTGCTCCTTAGAGGCGCTTGGAGCCTGGGCAAGAAGGGGACACAGCATACCACATAATGTCCCATGGGGTGCTGGGGGTGGCAAGGGACTCAGAGACCAGGGCGCTGCCCCGGGGGAGCTTATGGTCTTATGGGGAGTGCAGGAGATGCCTCCAAGAAACAGGGAGCCTGAACCAGCAAAGCTGAGGACACACTTGTTAATTATAGCAAACACATGCTGGGGGACAGGGAGGATCCATCTGGGGAAGGTTCATTCATTCATTCGGTAGCTGGGGAATATCAACCCTCCCAGGCCAGGCCCTGCCTTAGTATTGCAGAAAGAGAATTTTGAGTTTCATATACAAGATGGTAAGAAGCAAGAATCACCCAAGCAGCTGAAGGAGGGCCCGGGGTGGACAGCAGGCTACTGGGCTGCACAGATGGGGGTGGAGCTGGAGCTGGGGACCCCTCGAAGGCCCTGGTTCCACTCTCAACATCTGGATTCTGTGTGTGTATGTACACTGGCCTCTGGTCAGCTGGTGCCCGCCACGTACACACAGGCCTTCTGCCTCAGAGGAAGAATGTACAACTTTTGCCCCAAACAGGTCTTTCATTGAGTAGGGGAGGAGAGGAGGGGGGCAGAAGGAGGGGGAACTCAGTTGATCCCAGCCTGGAGAGAGAAAATCCTGTGGAACTGATTCATAAGCAACAGGCTGGGAGCTTAGACCCCACCAGATGTGCAGCGGGGGAGTTAACGGCAGCCACGTGTCCTTGATCCCGAATTAACCATAGACACCGGGATGGCTGAGATGGATCAGAATGACTCACAGGGACTTAGTGGACAAGGTGACTTGGGATTAGCGTGGGGGCCTTAGAAGGGCAGCGAGGGGCCCAGGTGGGTGCTGAGTGATTTGGGAGTCTCCAGCTGGGAGGCTGGGTTCTGACTTAGGGACTTGCCCTATTCTCGTTCCTGCTTATGGTCTAATGAGTCAGAAACTCTGTGTCTGGGGGAGTATGGAGAGTGGACCCTGGCTGGGGGAGAAGGACATCCCCACGGCGGGTGCCTGCTGTGTGCCCCGAGCCTGCTTCCATTGCTGTGTTAATTTTCACACCACGTCAGGACACAGGCCAGCCGGCCGCATGAACTTTCAACAGCCTGTAGGGGTGCGGGGGAAGCCCTGGTGCCTGGCATCTGGTAGCTTCCATGGTGTGAACACTCCAGTCACAGCTGATTTCAAGCTCCCAAAGAGCCTTCATGGGACACAAAGTGGTCAGAGGAGCAGACGGTTGGGAGCCAGCCCTCCGCACATAGTTTTTACAGGAAAGGGGAAAGTGAGACTTGGATGAGGAAGGAAGCAAGTGCTCATTGAAACCTAGTGGGACTCCCTGCCTGCAGCTCCCTCCGGGTTAGGGAGGAAGCCTGTGTGCCCCTCCTCACCTGGAAGGGTGGGGCCGAGCCCCTGTGCTAGGGAGACAGTCCTGACCCACCACCTTGGGCCTCGACCAGGGCACTGTCCCACTCCAGCTGGCCCTCAGAGATGTCTTCCCCCTTCCAGGAAACAGCGACGCCAACCCTGCTGTGTCTGAAGATGCCTTATTCAGGGACAAGTTGAAACACATGGGAAAATGTGAGTCCAGCCCACGCCCT